AGAGGACAAAATCTCTTTCGGTACCCATTATTATATTGATTCTGAGTTGTATTGTTGTGTCATTGCATGCACTGGGATGTGAAAGTTTTCTTTTGTTTTGCAGATCTGGAGCTGTACAACGAAGGCCTGAAAGTTCTCCATGATTTTCCCCAGCATTACCCGTTTGAGGTGTCGTTAAGTGGTTAAACACAGCACTCATTTATTTGCCTTTTACAGTTTCTGGATAATTGGATATTTACTGTGTTTGTAAAAAAAAAACGATGTAAACGTTGTTATGTTTTTGTTACTTGAAATAAAACCTTAAACCCCTGATCGCATTATTGACCATACATTGACAAAATAAGGTAGGAATTCGTCTACTGATTTACAGTATGAATTTTTAAATCATGAAGCACGGTGTGATTACGAGGCAAAATTTCAGAAATCAAACATTTTCTATAATTCATCTGTGAAATCTAGCACACCAATCTCTCATTATAACTAAAATGGATTTGCCTTCATTAAGCCACTTACTTATAATTATTTCTTAAATGTATATTTCCAATTTAAATGAACATTTTACTGATGTATTTGTTCCTAAATAAGGTTTACATGTTTAAGTTCACATTGACTATGTACACAAATATAAAAAGGATGAGGTGATATGCAAGGTTGGTCTACAGGCACGCTTTTTTATTCTAACTTTATAATATATGGGGTGGGATGGGTTGGGGTGGGGGGGCAAGGTTAAATGATAGGAGTGTTATGATGTAGTTTTGTGTTTATATGAGCAGTTTTCTGTATTGTATAACTCCAAGATGAGCCAATTAAGGCAAGTTATTATGCACATTGCAAGTAACATATTGGCGAAAAGTGATCAGTTTTAATGAATGAAGTAATATATTAGGCTGGTCTACAGACAACATTTTTGTTATTATTCCAAATCCTACATTCAAAGGAAAATTTATTTGTTGTTATTTCCAGGTCATTTTATTCAATGCTAGTCTCAGTGCATTTTATTTTGGTTTTTTTTGCTTATATATTCTACAACTAGATGGCAATAAAGTGAAAAACTAAACCGGTATCTGACAGATTGTGACTTGTGAGTTTTGTAAAACCAAGGCTTTAAGAGTTAAAATGCACTTTCTTTTTTCTCAGTAATTTTGCTGATTTTTTTTCCTGGGTTTCCACACAATAAAACCTATAAACGTAAATCTTTCATAAATGAAAATTTGCTGACCCTTAGTCTATCCGATATGTATAGCCCAGATGAGTTTGTTTCTTCATTAGAACAGATTTGGAGAAATGTAGCATTGCATCACTTGCTCACCAGTGGATCCTTTGCAGTGAATGGGTGCCGTCAGAATGAGAGTCTAAACAGCTGATAAAAACATCATGATAATCCACACCACTCCAGATCATCAGTTAACATCTTGTGCAGGGAAAAGTTGCATGTTTCTAATGGAACACATCCATCATTAAGACATTTTAACTTTAAACCATTGCTTCTGGCTAATCCCACTATCCGTAATATTGCTTCCTCCACTGAGAAAGTCTGAATGAGGGAAGAAATATGCACAGATCAAGCACAGTTTACAAGCAAAAAATAGTCAAAAACAGTGCTCAATAAATATGTGGGATGATTTTGATGTGAGAGGGCAGCAGGGGATGGACCTTTTCACTGGAGGAAGCGTTATGGATTCTGGACTCGTCTTTTGGCCAGAAGCAAAGGGACAGATTGTCTTGCCTGAATTAAGACTATTTTCAGATAACTAACATTATTTGGAACATATGGTCTTACTTCACAACAGTGAGCAGAGGACAGTGTTTCTACTGACACTCATGGGAAACTAAAACCAGTATCCTGGAATGTTCTTCTTTAATTATGTGAGGGATGCTAATATTTCTATCAAAAAAAAAAAACTTGTACCATTACAAAATTCATCAATCAATAAATGGCAACGTGTCAGGAGGAGGTGAATGAGCCAAATACCTCAAGCAGTCACTTTAATATAGGTATCATGTTGAGAAACTCCCCTATATTTGACAAGACAAACCATCTCCATCAGGATAAAAGCCATTAGATTAAAAGATGCATTCAGATGTTGTAATATTTATATGATGATCAATAGGTGCCCTCTGTTGTGCTCAATGGTGTGGTGAGGAGTTGCCTGAGGTCAAGCAGCTGCCATATTGTTGCAAGTTCAGACAAAGTGCTGTTTGTACCACTCACACAGTAACAATAGCTATCTTAAAGTTATGTATAAAGTTATTTTATTAGTACTAGTATATTGGAAAAAAGAGGATCATCTTGGTTCATAAATTACCAGGTGCCTTTAATGACCCTTTGCCCTTAAATATGATATGTAGTATGCCAGAGCCCACCGCAGACAGAGAGCCTGCATCTGCTGCGATCAACCAATCTTCGCTAATGGATGCGACAGAGCCGAACATCGCCACAGAGCCCAAGCTCGACAAAACGTCTGACCAGGTGCATGAGCCGGCAACAAAGAGTGTTCTCGAGTCCTCGTCGAGATCGAGGGCGCTGATAGGGACTCCGCCCACACTCCAGCTATTGAGGGTGAGCTGCCGCTGTCCTCTGAAAACTATTATGAGGAACTTAAAGACATTTTTGATGTGGACTTAATACACTGGTTTGGGGAGGTAATACCCAATTCTCCTGAGTCTCCACTGGTTCCACCCAGCTCATGTTCTCCTGTGTTCCCTCCCAGCCTCCCTCTCCCAACTCCTCTACTAAAACCAGCCAGTTCCTCAGCCCTGTCTCCACTGGTTTCTGTCAGTCCCTCAGCTCACCCTCAGTCAGTGCTCTGATTCACCTTGGGTCTGCCAGTCTCTAGCTCTGCCTTGGCATAAGGATCGCCTGTCTCCGCCTCTGGCCTCTGAGTCCTGGACTCCACCTCGGCCCTTTGACCCATTGGCTCCACCTTGGCTCCTAGCTCCCTCGTCTCCATCGTGGCCCATCATCCCACTGGCTCCACCAGGCTCCCTCATCACTCAGGCTCCACCTTGGTCAGTCACTGACCTTCCTCCGCTATGGGACTTCACTCCTCCGGCTTCTCATCGTCCCTCTGTCTATCTGGCTCCGTCAGGCTCCTCCCTCTGGCTCCACCTTGGTCCTCTGTCACTCCGGCTCTACCGTGGCCTTCCAGATCCCTGCCTCCGCCTCGCTCGCATGAGCTCTCTGCTCCACCTCGGCCTTGAAGGATGTTCCTTTCCATTGGGGGGGGAGTAATGTCACATGTATATTTAGTTCTATTTCATTTGTTCTAGTTTTCCCTCCACTAGTTTCTTTCCTTGGTTGTTAATTAGCTCCACATCTGTTCACATCTGTTTCTCCTTGGTTGCGTTCTACCTAGTATTTAAGCCCTGTCTCCTCTGTTCCTTTGTCTGGTATTGTCTTTTGTGGATTATTTGCTGTTGGATTATTGTTGTTCCCTTTCCCTGTGGATTTATTAAAAGGAATTCTCCATCCTACTCTTTCATCATGCGAGTTGTATACTGTTGTGACAATCCCATGACATAAAGCACATACTTGAATTGAGTACTTGAGTACTTGATTATAATTTTAACTGTAGTGTGATATTACATTTTTTACAAGTTAATATATTAATGTACTAAAGCATAACTTCACATTATTACAAATATATTTCTTCAGAATATTAAATATTTAAATACATGGCATACAAGTTTCAATAGAAATGACACTAAAGTATATTTAAATGCATGTCAGTACATTCAGCAGTACACTTTAATATATTTCAAAGACAATATAATTATGAAATTACATATAACATCAGTCCTTTTAAATGTGTCAAAAAAACTTAGCTAAAGTTTAGCTAATTGCATTTAATATAAATTTAAATTATAATACATTTTCATTTAATTCCAATTTACATGCAATTACGAGTCTGAAAACATTACACTCAGTTCACACTTTATTTCTTTTAAAATATTTATTTTACTTAAATAATTTCTGTAATAAGCACTCTTACAAGGGTCTGCTCATTAGCACTGATGTGACTGGTTGAGCTCTATGCGTTAATCATGTACTAAATAATGTAATGATGCACTGTTGTTCACCACATTTCAGGGTGACAGAGGATTTGAGGGTCCTAAGGGTGCACGTGGACCTCCTGGAATTAGCATTAAGGGTGATAAGGTATAGTATATTCTCCCCCCCCCAAAAAAAAACACACACACATTCTGTTGCTGAGTATAATAAAACCCAGCAATAAGACACTGCTGTAAGTAGTTATTCCTCACTTCTGTAGGGTAACACAGGGGAACCAGGTTTACCTGGACTGATGGGATTTCCAGGAGTTGGGATTCAGGGTGAAAAGGCAAAGAGAAGTTCTTATCTATACATAGGTTTCACCCTGCATTATTTTATAGGAAATCAAAGTACAGCCTTCACTGTGAATTTATGTTTGCTATGGCATTTCTCGCTGCAGGGAGACCTGGGACCCATAGGACCACCTGGCCCTAGAGGCCCTCCTGGAGTGGGCATTGTGGGCACTAAGGTACATTGTGTGTGTGTTTAGTGGTCTGATATTGAATGCAGGATATCTTTAGAGAGAGTTCTGGGATAGTTCACCCCAAAAAGAAACTCACCATTATGTTGTTGCAAAACAGTGATGTTATTATTTTATTTTATTTTTTTATTTTTTTTTATTAAGAGTGATGTTATTATTAACTAACACTATTAAAAATAATTTTCAGTAATTTAAATAAAATCATTTTTGGTGATTAAACTGAATTTAAATTGAATTAAAATTTTGAATTTTTTAACTTTTTTGTTTCCAGACAAAAGTGTGAAAAATAGCCTTGGCAACTAACAGAAATAGATAAGTTTAAGTTCTAAAATTACTACAAATAAAACTGAATTAAAATATTTAAGCTAAATAGATATAAAAAAATAAATAAAATTGACAAAAGCATATAACAAAAGTGCTAAAACCTGAATTAAATGAAAACTGTAAATATATATATATATATATATA